CCTTCTTGTCATTGAGATTTTGGAACATACTTTAAAATAGGTTTCGTCTGATGTGCTTTTATAGAGACCGCTCGCGTTTTAGCTACCTTTATAACGTCCGTCACTGAAACATTTAACGAGTCACCCAATACTTTTTTTTTTGTTTTTGTAGATTGAACCACTTGTGTAGATGGATGGCTTGGGATGGGCACTTCCGAAGGTGTATCAGGATCAATATAGAACTTGGCATTGGCAAAATAAGATTTTGCCAATGTAAATGGTTTATGGTCCGCCACAACCATTTGTACACATTCTTGTAGAATTTGAAACACTGATGAAGAGTCAATGGAATGACGCCATTACTATGTATTCAAGATCTTCCCAACAACAAATTATAGAACGTTTTTGCATCAATAACGTGGAATAAGGTTTTAACTTAGAGCCCGTTAATAGTTAGCTTCGCCCGAATCATGCCAATAGCTCTCTGTCTTCCTTAGTTAAAACCTTGAATAATAAGACAGCTACAAGATAACTCATCGACTGTGATGCCGAGATTTTTCATCATAAATTTTGGCATGAGATTCATTGTTGATCCACCATCAATAAGAATTAGAGTAACTTTTTGTTCTCTTATGTAACTGGAAACAAAGAGAGGACAATTATGTGGCTTTGAACCCAACTGAAGATCCTCGTCTGTGAAAGCAATTGGTGCACAACATGAATTAAGTGTACCTCTGACTACTTCTTCATCATCGAACTTTTCAATGATGGCTGTCTCTTTTACATGGTCCTCCACAGGTTGGGCTTCATCTTGATCCTCGCTATTCTCATCATCAGGGCTCATTTTTCCAGTTGAAACTATGTAAGCTGTCACAACTTCGTCATCTAGATATTTTTCAGGAAAAAACTCTTGCAAAGTAATAGGCTTCTGGATCCCTTTGCTCATAATGTTGAAACACCAAGTACACTTCCTTGGCCAAGATAGATGGGGATTAGTTCGAATGAGCTAAACTAGATGGTTCTGAAATATACCTTAGAATTTAAAAGTTGAGAAAGCACACTCCCCACGACAGAGGTTGTCAAAGTAACAGTAGTATGATTTGAAGTTACAACTTCGTCTGTGTCAAATAAGATTTTTTCTTGTTTTGCCAGATTCATCACCACCTCCTTGAAGATAAAACACTTCTTAGTTGGATTACTAACAATATGATGATATTTGCAGTATTTTAGGTCGTTAACACGTCCTATCTCTTGAGGGCATTTGCATTCAGGGAGTTCTATAATTTTACTTTCGAGTAAGCATTGCAATGTGCCAGGAATATCGGAATCAGGGAATGGGTATTCCTTCTTCTCTAATTCCTTTAGCGTAGGACATTGTCTTTCCCCCTCTTGAAATTGGCGAGACTTTTTATCATCCTTCTTGTTATCTTTAACAGATATCTTGACTGGGGTAGTTGAGATAGTTATGGATTCTTTAGCAGCGTTCTTCGATGACTTGTCGCCCTTCTTCTAGTCTTTCTTGTCCTTGCGTGGTTCTATAGCCACAGGACCTTTATCGTCATGGGATTTTATACTGATCTCCATGTCATGGGCATGCACAGCCAATTCTTCGAATGTGCGAGGTTTTATGCCTTGGAGAATGAAAAGAAGGCCCCAATGCATTCCCTACATACACATCTCCACAGCAGAGATTTCTGACAATCGGTCCTTGCAGTCAAGACTAAGTGCTCGCCACCGATTAATATAGTAGATTACAGGCTCATCATTCCATTGCTTCGTGTTAATCAATTTTATCATACTAACAATACGACGAGTGCTTTAGAACCTGTTCAAGAATTCTCGTTCCATTTGGTCCCAACTATCAATTGATTTTGACTTCAGGTCGGTGTACCACTCGAACGCGTTTCCTTTAAAGGAGCAGACAAACTATTTAACTAGTAAGTCCCCATCAGTTCTGGCATTGTTGCATGTCTCGACCAAATGGGCAATATGTTGCTTGGGGTTGCCTTTTTTGTCAAATTGATGAATCTTCGGAGGTTGGTATCCTACATGCATCCTCATACTGTCGATTCTCTTTGTATAGGGCTTTAAGTACATGAGAGTGCTCTGTAAGACACCTCCATATTGGGCTCAGATTATATTCATTATCATATCTTGCAATTGTTCGACAGATAATGAAGAGACTAAAGAAGCATGATTGGTTTGACCAGCCACTTATTCTGTCATAGGCGTCTATTTGGGGTCTTCCATGGGAGTACCTTGTGCCGTAGAATTAGGATTCCCAGATGGCACTGTTGTGGAAGATGTAGGATTCCCAGAGGATAGTGGTGTGGAAGTTGCAGGATTCCTAGATGGCACTGCTGTGGAAGATGTAGGATTCCCAGACGGCACTGCTGTGGAAGCTATAGGATTCCCAGACGGTATTGCAGTGGAAAATGTAGGATTCCCAAACGGCACTACCGTGGAACCTGTAGTATTCCTAAATGGTACTGGTGATTCACCGAAGGTCTGAACTTCCAATTTGTTCATCAGTGTAGCAATTTGCAAGTCCTTCTCTTCAATAGTCTTTGTGAGGTTGTCAATTACTTTCGCCATTCTTACTAGTTGTTCCTCCACCGTGGCAGCTCCAGTCATCATAGCAGCGGCCATATCTGAGTATGATAGGCCTTGAGAGTTAACGTTCCTTGAAGTAATTGATTGCTCCGAAGTCTGATGTGGTGACTCCTGGGGTGAACCAACACTAGAGTTTGCATCAGAGATGGAATGAGGTGAATATGGTGGCGGAACCTCCTCTAAAACAACGTCAGGATTCTTGACATGTTGAGTTTTTACGTTCGTCGGCTTTGCAGAATTGGTTTTTACCATATCTTGCTGATGTTTGGATAACGCGATTGCCTGGGACTTTATACGTGTCACAGGGGGTGCCATTACCTGATGCATTTTTGGCCTTCGTGCCACTTTTCATGGTGGTTTTGGCGTTGACCTTTGCAATAGCGATGTTCTTTTGGGCTTTTTTGTCTGTCTGAGTCTTAGGGGGAGCCATATAATCTGACAGAGAAGAAACTTGACGGTAGTAGAATGAGATGAGAGGCAAAGGATGTCCCACCGGGCGTGCCTGAAATTTGTACATACAAATTTTGTAGTCTGCAAATAAAAAACAAAATAGGGAGCAAAAATAATAGAATTTTATTAATTTGGGAAAATTGGAATACAATCCTCTGTAATATTCTTTACAAAGAATAAGGTCCTCTGATTCGATCTCCTTTGTTGGTATTCAAGGGCTACACGAGTTTGATCTTGAATCACCGTGGAATTTGGATGAAGAACAACACGATTTGATGTGCTTATTGTTGATCACTGTGGAATTTGATGAAGAATGTCACGATTTGATATACTTGGTGTTTTTTGTCTTTAGGTTTGGATGTTGGGGATGAGTATTGGAATTCTAGAATTCTGAATTTGTGTACTCCTTTCTTCTTCCTCCAGACCTCTATTTATAGGCTTATTGAATGAATAGGACGATAACATGTGTCCTCTCCTGATAATGATAAAATCATAACTAGGTTGGGCCGGTTATATTATGATAATTATCCTTACAAATAATTATTCCAAATATATTTTATTAGGAATAATTATCTTTTCATTTAATCATCTGGGCTGAGCTTAATTAAATAATTTAAGTGGACCAAACTTGGGCCAATTAAATAACTTAATTAAACATTAAACTCATATTTGATGGGTCAGTTTGTCAAAACCAAAGTCCATTAAAATTTTAGTGTCTACAAGATGCTTCGCAATCTGACCCAAAAGGTTAAGTTATTAGGTGGGGCTAACACCTAACCCGTTTATACCCATTACATTTCCCATTTGGATCCGATGTGGGACAATCCTTTAACATTCTCCCCTATCCGAACTTGCAACAACGGCTTGAGCCACCTTGCTTACCCGGGTGGGGCCCAGATGCGTTCCGGTCGGGCGCTTGGCGTTACATCGGATAAGGGACTCAACCTGACTCTAATATCAACTGTAATGGGTGGGCTCATACCTGCTAACCCAAAAGCTTAAACTATTGGATACTACTGCTGTACACACAAATTTTGTAATCTGCAAATAAAATAAAGAACAAAATAAGGAGCAAAATAGAATTTTATTGATTTATGATAAATAAAAAGAATACAATCCTGTGTAATATTCTTTATAAAGAATAAAGTTCTCTTATTCAATTTTTTTTTTTGTTGGTATTTTCAAATTTGTGATTTGAGAGGCTCGGCATTGATGAGTTCCTGTTAAGTTTCAGTGGTTAGAAATGATAAAAAAAACAGATGAGAAGCTAATTTCTGGTTATTGAATAAATGAATCTTTCAATTTCTTAATTTGCACACCAACACCAAAAGGCACAAGCAAAGGATCCGATTCCTGCAACCCAACTCCGTTTTTTATTTGAGCAATTCATTACCGTACATTCGGAACAGTAAAATTTGTTGAGTCGTAAAAAGTGGTCAAAAATAAAAGAAGATGCCAGTCAAATCAGAAAATGCTTTGTCAAAAGAATTTATCAGTTGGTTTGGGGTCGACTCGCCACCACTGAGATTAATGCTTCCAACCGTTGTGACCTCCGAACCTCTAACCCCCATCCACGGACTTCACTCACCATCACCAATTTTACGCTTTAATGAATTCGCCCAAGATGGGCCAATTCAACCCTACAAACTTTCTACTTTTCGCCGCTTTTATTTTATTTATTTCGACTTTATATTAACAGAACATTTTACTTATATATATATATATATATAAGTTATTGATTAACCTTGGAGAGACCGCTAGGCAGACAAATAATACTAGAAGTAATAAAAATCTCAGCGGTGGCGAGTCGACCCCAAACCAAAATTCTCAGGTACAAAAGTTTTGAGAAATTACAGCTCTATTGAAGGAGAGAATGGAGGAAGAAACATCTGAAGATCATCATCATGATTGAAAATTTCCACCTTATCTGAAGGTGTAATAATCATAATCATCTCAAATAACACAAGCAGCACAAAACTTAGAGAGGATACATCCAACAACAAAAATGGGATATAGCAACAACTATATCTGTTGCAAAAAGTAATAAAAACTGACATACGCAACTAAAAATGTCTGCCATCAAACATACTGTTTATTACAACAATCGTTACTACTGCCTAAAGTTCAACATATGGCAGCACTCACGTTTGCTACCTAAGTCCGGCAATATGCCTACACTCGTACCACTGCCAATTCCTCAACTTTATCACTCTATAACTCTCCTTCTCACCTCAAACACAACTTTTGTATTTATTTAGCATCTCCACATGGGGTAAATATATCGAAAGATCAAATAAGCTTTTGATATATGAAAGAAATTTCAGAAGAGAGAGATCTAATAATTTATATGGCATATGAATGAGGTCGTTGAACATACAAACTCTTCTTCCAAACTGCTACAATGAACTCTTCACTCCCAAAACGCTTGATTAGGTGTTGGGATTTTTTATTAGCTTCCTTGAAATCATGATAAGAATGAGCCTTGTCATGGCACTAGCAGGTGGCATCTGCTGCTTCTTTTCTGCATCTCCTTCCATGTCAACCTTCTTCAGGCTTGTAAAGGGAGAACCACTTGCTGCAAATTTCGAACCAAGCTCTACTTCAAACTCCCTTTCTCCACTGATTTACCCACCAGGCTTGTAAAGGGTAGGCCATTAACTTTTTGTGGACTCTGCTCTCAAGCTACAAAAGTGACGGTCAATACAAGATCGATGAGGATTGACTTATGGTCTTTAAAGTTTAACTAACAATAAGGAGGCTTTCAACAATGGAGTATAGAGCAGCATTTGAGCTCTTGTTAGTTGCAAAATAATAGGTGCTTAAGCGTTTCAGCACTAGCAACATATATGCAACCCATACAAAATTTTTAACTTGGCAAGCCAATAAAAGAACAACCATCTCATCAAATATGAGTTTTTGTTTTGAGATCATTATATTCATTTTTAACATCAAAATACAAAATCTAGTTCAAACAATATGATTTATTTAAGCTGTACCTAGAATCTCCTAGTATATATGAAGACGTTTAACCTTACTACAGTGTGTATTTCGCATAGAAGCAGAAATTGAAAACTTGTTGGGTATGTCTAAAATTGAGTAGAATATATAACCATTAGAATATAAAATATTCCAGCATATTAAATATCAAAGTTTCAGCAATTAGCAGTTGGCAAAGAATTTTTTTTTTTTTTTTTTGGGCTTTAATATGAGCGTTAGGAACTGTCTCATCACTCTCTGCCCATTTCCTGCACCAAAAATCAGACAAAGCTTACGGAAATATTTTGAAATTGTTATTTCCACATTGTTTTAAAAAATAAGTTGAAGCTTCAAAATTCGTGCTACCGGAATCTCATGGAAATATGTTGAGAATATATTTAAAAATACATAAGCAGCCATTTACAAAGTCCACCACATGAAATCATCTAGGATTTAGGCAGTAAGAATACTAGTAACCATTTACACTGATTTGATTCAGAACTACACAAAATCTATGAAAACAATCATGCATGTTTAGGAACTTCAACTTTTCTCTACCTCATGGTACCTGATTTCAATACTAAATTGCCATTGACATGAAAAATCGACCCCTATGCAAAAGAATCATGCATTTCTTACGGACTATTCATTCTTGATCCAAACAATTTTAAGAAAGGAAACAAATCTTATGGAAATATTTTGATTCTCTAAAGCTTTGAAGCTTTTTCTGCAACACATGACCTCAAACCACAACCAAGAAACCAACTTAAATCTCAAAATAATCAATTCACCGTTCCAGTGCAAAGGTATTAGATTACCTCGAGCAAAGATTGTCTTTTTTTTTGATTGATTGAATACATGAAATTGAGCCCTAACAGATAAATGGCGTCTCAAAGTTCAAGAGATTATGAAATCAATCTTTCATTCTTTCGACACGAATTTGTGAAATCGGAGCTACAGTGGCAAAATTGAGTCCTAACATCCACAGGAATTATGAAACAATGTTTTCATTCACTTCAAACTGAGCTTTCATCTCGAAATCATCTCATGGTACCTTGATTTCAACTGCCTAAATACTATTGTAAAGTATAGTTCTGCAGTGACAATTGATAACTGAAATGGATGTTTCATCAATAACCTGAAAAAAGAGTAGAGATACAAATCACAATTAACAATCAATTAAGGAAAGAATCCATCATTCATAGATCAGCAGAAAATAGATAATTACCATGCCATCAGGTTGCATGTTAAACACTAAAATCTGACATCCTACAATTTTGCTCTCAACGCCAAACTTCTCTAATGATAGAAATGTCTGGTAAATTTTGTAGTGACATGCATCCAGAAATGTCCAAGAATTGCAGTTCTCCAAGTCCGCAAATCTCGCTAAGTTTCACACAGTTATGAAGTCGCAATTCTTTTAAAGTTGTTACTCTCAACAGATTAGGTATCCTTTCCAAGACTCTACACGATGACAAGTCCAGCATCTTCAAGGTTTTCAAATCCTCAACACCCTCAATCTCATGTAGCTTCTGGCAGTTGGCAAGCTTCAAGTCTTCCAGCATTTCCAAGTTTGGTAGATCAGGCAATCTTTCCAAGGATGTGCACGACAAGTCCAGCATCTTCAAGGATTTCAAAGCCTTAAGACCCTCAATCTCATGTAGCTTCTAACACTCGGCGAGCTTTAATTGTGCAAGCATTTCCAAGTTTGATAGGTCAGGCAGTCTTTCCAAGGATATGCACGATGAAAAGTTGAGTGTCTTCAAGGATTTCAAACCCTTAAAACCCTCAATCTCATATAGCTTCTCGCACTGGTAGAGATCTAATCCTTTTAGCATTTCCGAGTTTGATAGATCAGGTAATCTCTCCAAGGCTGTGCAAAATCGAAAGTCCAGCGTCATCAAGCTTTCAAAACCCTTAAGACCCTCAATCTCACGTAGCTCCTGGCACTGGAAGAGCTTTAACTCTTCCAGCATTTCAAAGGTCGATAGATCAGGTAACCTCTCCAAGGCTGTGCAATATGACAAGTCTAGTGTCTTCAAGTATTTCAAACCCTTAAGACCCTCAATCTCATGTAGCTTCAAGCACTGGAAGAGCTTTAATGCTTTCAGCATTTTTGAGTTCAATAGATTAGGTAACCTCTCCAAGGCTGTGCAATATGACAAGTCCAGCGTCATCAGGGATTTCAAATCCTCAAGACCCTCAATCTCATGTAGCTTTTGGCAGTGGGTGAGCTTTAAGTCTTCCAACATTTCAAAGTTTGATAAATTAGGCAATCTTTCTAAGGATATGCATGATGACAAGTCCAGCATCTTCAAGGATTTCAAATCCTTAAGACCCTCAATCTCATGTAGTTTCTGGCACTCAGCGAGATTTAAGTGTACAAGCATTTCCAAGTTCGAAAGATCAGGCAGTCTTTCCAAGGATATGCACAATGACAAGTTGAGTATCTTCAAGGATTTCAAACCCTTAAGACCCTCAATCTCATGTAGCTTCTTGCACTGGTAGAGGTCTAATCCTTTCAGCATTTGCGAGTTTGATAGATCAAGTAATCTCTCCAAGGCTGTGCAAAATCGCAAGTCCAGCGTCTTCAAGATTTCAAAACCGTTAACACCCTCAATCTTGCGTAGCTCCTGGCACTGCAAGAGCTTTAATTCCTCCAGCATTTCAGAGTTCGATAGATCAGGTAACCTCTCCAAGGCTATGCAATATGACAAGTCTAGAATCTTCAAGGATTTCAATCCCTTAAGACCCTCAATCTCGTGTAGCTTCAGGCACTGGAAGAGCGTTGTGCAATATGACAAGTCCAGCGTCTTTAGGGATTTCAAAGCCACAAGACCCTCAATCTCATATAGATTCTGGCACTGGAAGAGCTTTAATTCTTGCAGCCTTTCTAAGTTCGATAGATCAGGGAACCTCTCCAATGCTATACAATTTCTCAAGTCCAGCATCCTTAAGAATTTCAAACCCTTAAGACCCTCAATCTCATGTAGCTTCAGGCAGTGGAAGAGCTTTAATTCTTCCAGCATTTTTGAGTTCGATAGATCAGGTAACCTCTCCAAGGTCGTGCAATATGACAAGACCAGCGTCCTCAAGGATTTCAAACCCCTAAGACCCTCAATCTCATGTAGCGTCTGGCACTGAAAGAGCTTTAATTTTTCCAGCATTTCCGAGTTCGATAGGTAAGGTAGCATCTCCAAGGCTATGCAATATGACAAGTCCAACGTCTTCAGGGATTTCAAAGCCACAAGACCCTCAATTTCATGTAGCTTCTAGCACTGGAAGAGCTTTAATTCTTCCAGCATTTCTAAGTTCGATAGATCGGGTAACCTCTCCAAGGTAATGCAATATGACGAGTCCAGCATCTTCAAGAATTTCAAACCCTTGAGACCATTAATCTCATGTAGCATTAGGCACTGGAAGAGCTTTAATTCTTTCCACATTTTCGAGTTCGATACATCAAGTAACCTCTCCAAGGCTATGCAATATGATCAGTCGAGAGTCTTCAAGGATTTCAAACACTTAAGACCCTCAATCTCATGTAGATTATGGCACTGTAAGAGATTTAATTCTTCTAGCATTTCCAAGTTCGATAGATCAGGTAACCTCTCCAAGGCTGCGCAATATGACAAGTCCAATGTCTTCAAGGATTTTAAACCCTTAAGACCCTCAATCTCATGTAGCTTCGGGCATTGGGCGATCTTTAATTTTTTCAGCATTTTCGAGTTCGATAGATCAAATGATCTCTCCAAGGCTGTGCAACACGGCAAGTCCAGCATCTCCAGGGATTTCAGACCCTCAAACTCATGTAACTTCAGGCACCGGAAGAGATTTAATTCTTTTAGTATTTCCGAGTTCGATAGATCAGGTAACCTCTCCAAGGCTATGCAATATGATAAGTTGAGTGTCTTCAAGGATTTCAAACCCTTAAGACCCTCAATCTCATGTAGCTTCTGGCATTGGGAGAGATTTAAGTCTTCCAACATTTCTGAGTTCAATAGATCAGGTAATGTAACAACTTTCACCCTGTCCAGACACAATATTGTCCGCTTTTGGCTCACCCGAACCATAGACTTCCCAGGGGGTCATCTATCCTAGTACTGCTCCAGGTTAAGCACGCTTAACTCTGGAGTTCTGGTAGGTTCACAGCCATCACAGCTTTAAACGCGTTGTGTTATAGAAGGGTGTTGAATCTACATATATCACTTACCCCATCCACACCCAGGCGATATAAGATTGTGCACTTGGAGCTCGCCCAGTGTAGTAGCCTGCCAATGCCTCGCACCCGCCCACATTTGGGTCGTCACAATCACCCCCCTTTGGGGCCCAACGTCCCCGTTAGCCACACTTTCGGCTGGGTTAGGCTTTAATACCATTTGTAACAACCCTTACCCTAACCAAACACAATATTGTCCACTTTTGGCTCCCCCGGATCAAAAACTTCCTACCCATCCTGGTACTACTCCAGCTTAAGCACGCTTAACTCCAGAGTTCTGGTAAGTTCACGGCCATCACGGCTTTAAAACGTGTTGTGTCATAGAAGAGTGTTGAATCTACATATAGCACTTGCCTCATCCACACCTAGGCGATGTGGAATTATGCACCTGTAGCTCGCCCAGTGTGGTAGTAGCCTACCAATGTCTCGCACCTGCCCACATTTGGGTCGCCACAGGTAACCTCTCCAAGGTCGTGCAATATGATAGGTCGAGTGTCTTCAAGGATTTCAAACCCTTAAGACCCTCGATCTCATGTAGCTTCTGGCACTGGGAGAGATTTAATTCTTCCAACATTTTTGAGTTTAATAGATCAGGTAACCTCTCCAAGGTCGTGCAATATGATAGGTCGAGCGTCTTCAAGGATTTCAAACCCTTAAGACACTCAATCTAATGTAGCTTCTCACACTGGGAGAGCTTTAATTCTTCCAGTATTTTTGAGTTCGATAGATCAGGTAACCTCGCCAAAGCTGTGCAATTTTGCAATTGCAGAGTCTTCAAGGATTTCAAGCCCTTAAGACCCTCGATTTCATGTAGCTTCACGCACTGGAAGAGCTTTAATTCTTTCAGCATTTCTGAGTGCGATAGATCAGGTAACCTCTCCAAATTGAAACAACCAGAGGAATCTAATTCTTCAAGTTTCGGTAACAATCTGATGGCACTAGGTAATTTCACTATCGAATAATAACGAATCTCAAGAATTCTCAAATGTTTTAGGTTACCAATGATATCAGGTAATTCAAAATTTAAAGAGAAGGATTGTTAGGCATCGTCATTGTTCTGTTCTTTTATTTTTATTTTCATTTTTGGTTACCATAAAACATATATGGTTTCTCTTACAGTTCAATATTTTGGATTTAATGCTTAATATGAAGTTTTGGCCATAAAACTACTTTTAGCTCACTTATTTGTACAATTCATTAGTACCCATTAGAGGATTGTCCTCCTATATGAATGGATTTCAAGTTACCTGCATGCTTTGCTATCTTAATAATTAAATAGGAAATTTTGTTCACAATTCTAATAGTTAGAGTTGACTTTTGTGATAACTTTTTGCATTCTTCATGTTAAATTAGTATTCTTTAATTTGGTTCTCACCACATAGTAGTGTGTTATTTTGCATTCCTCCGGTCTAATACTCTGTTCTTTTATTTTAGAATCTCTGTAAACTTAATTTTCTGTTTAGTACTTCGTTTGTGTGATGATTTATATACACACATATTCTTTTTGTTGGTTGAGGTAGTTTTTTATTTGTTATGTTTTAGTGCTATAATAATCTGCGGATTCATGCATTCTTTGCAATCTCCAGTGCGGGGGGGAAAAAAAACCCTAGAAACTCCAGAATGCAGTTGTTCTCAAGTTTGAACCATCCATTTCAACGTCTATCAAAAGCACAGACCTACTAGTTGAACAACACCTACAAGTCTTGTCTTTAGCTCTGCGAAAGACGGTATTTTCAAAACCATTAGAAGATATGTTAGTCTCCATTTCTTGTTAGATCAAAGGTCTCTCTCTCCCCCTTGATGCTTGGTTCATACATTCTCGTGCGTTAAATAATTAGAGGTTTTTACATGCATTTGAACTAATATATATGTGTATTTATGTATATGTAAATTTGCCTCGAGATAAATGAGATGGCAAGCGGGACCATATCACTACTAATTCATGTGTGACTTTAGATCATTCTAATGACAAATTCACGTGAATGGTAAATCCTTACCTTTTTTTTTTTTTTTTACTTTTAATTGTGTAAAATTTCAATAGAATTGATTAAATCTCAAAACTCCAAACAGTAAATTTGGTGAGCCATTGATATTTTCCTAAAAAAGGAAAGAACATGCTCGTCAAATCGGAAAAAGTTCGTCTAAAGTTGGTGCAACATTTCTACACCAGGCGTCAAAAGAATGGGTTCCACTTATCATCATTATTGTTTTGGATGTGCACTCGTTAAGATTCCATACAAACTAACCACCTCAAATATCACAACAATTGTCTTAGCTTGGCCGGTAGAGCACGTGGCTTCACATAAATGAGATGGTAACAAAGCCATAAGTGCTGATGACAAATTCACAAGGATAGTGAAACCTTACCATTTCCCTCCATGTGTTAGGTGGTGAATTATAGGGTGCTTTAAGAATCTAGATACGTTCACACAAACAAAATCAAAAAATTAAAAATAATTGTATTATGAGTTTAAACAATAATTAGTAATCTAATTGAAATTCAATTAAAAAACTTTTGAGTAGAATAATTTTTCTATAAAGAAGTTAATAAAATGTTTTTTTTTTTTTTTTTTTTTTAAATTCAAATTTTGTATCTAATTTTGAAGAGTATAATATGAAAGTTTTGAGTCACTACTGAGTTTGCTTATTCTAATGGATAGCTCTCACTTGAAATTATACGTGGTGTCGTCTTTGTGAAGTTGAAAGCTAATTATGGGTGGGGCATTGAAGAAATGAATTCTTCAATTTCTTAATTTCCACGCCAACACCAGAGGGCACATGATGATGCTTTGATTTTTAGGTTTTGGCAAAGGGGCGTCTTCAATTATGCAAACTATCATAATCCTGTTGAAACTGAGCAATTTATCACCGTACATTCGGAACAGTAAAATTTGGTGAGTCAGTCATAAAAAGTGGTGAAAAAGAAAAGAAGATGCTTATCAAATGGGAAATGCGGAAAAAGCTTTGTCTGAAGTGTAAAATTGCCCATCATTCGTGTATACCACTAGCCGTAGAACGAATGGGTTCCACTTATTTATCATTATTGTTTTAAATACGGACGCAAACCTTGTCTATAGTCTAAAATTGGCTATCATTTGTTGCAACATTCTACCCTAGGGCGTCAAAACAATGGATTCCACATATATCAAATACAAAATATGTACGTATCTACATGAGCTATATATACATATGACTATATGAGGTATATAGAGAAAGGGAGAAATGAGGGTAAAAGAAAGAATTTACCAGTTGGTTTAGGCTTGAAGCAGTGAGAAACAGAGAAGGAAGCTGATGAATCTGATCCATCAGATCCACCATCGACTCGCTACGGCTGAGATTGATGCTTCCCACGGATCGCCAAACCTCTATCCCCCCATTCATGGACTCTACTCATCACGATCACCAATTTTACGCTCCAATTGAGTAAGCCCTAATGATTGTGTGTTACTGTTAGGACTTGGGGACATGGGGTTGCCCGCTTTTTATTTTATTTATGAATTAAAATTATAAAATTCCACTACTTTGACCGATAATAAAATTTAAAAAAAATAAATAAATAAACATTTCAAAACTTTTAAAACAAATGAAATCCTTAAATACCAGTAATTGAAACAAAATATAAGTGCTAATAAATCAGTCAAAATGCTTATTAAACTATCAAATTGGTATATCCTTATCAAGTGTAACGATTGTAACGAACAAGTTTGGAACGAATTGCCTTCTTCATACTCAACTCATTCTTATGCCGTAATGCTAATTTGGAAAAAATTATATATAAAATAAGTAATTCAATATTTTTTAGGGTTAATTTAATAGAAAAACACCTTAGCAAGGTTAATTTAATTATTAAGCCTATGTTTGGTTCCCCTTTTCTTGTTGACATTTCGTAACAAAACAAGTATTTTGTTATAGAGTGATTTAAATAGTTATCGGAAGTATATTTGGTAACGTTCATTATTGCAAGATATTTTGAAACAAAAATATGAAAATATGTTTGGAAAAAAAATATTACAAGTTTGAAAAATATAATGATTAGTTTAAAAATGATATTTGATTATGTTTTTTTTTTTTTTTGACAAATTTTTTTTACTGTTCATCGCTACAAGGGTAACGGCAGCAAAAAATAACTTTATTGTTGGGTAGGGGGAGGAGTTTAAATATCAATATTACTATTTATCAATCAATAAATAAATTAATAAAAATAACCCTCATATTCAATTTCTATTGAATTGTGTTGTCTTAGTCTCAGTGGCATCCTCCAAAGAAGAATTTGATCCATTTAATCTATTCTAAGCATAATCCAGAATTTAAAGAGAAATTAATAGGGAAATAGAACTTTGAAACCATCAATGCATAAACTTGCTTTTTGCAGGTTCTTAGATGCTTAATGTTCTTATATATATTACAGTTCTGAACCTACTAAAAATAAATTACTTTTTAGTAGAAGGGCTCAAGAACAAATAATCCATATGAAGTTGTAAAAACATGAACGGGTAGTCATTTTGTCATTTCACCTTAGTGTTGCCAGAAAATTGGTAGCAAAAATAAAAAAACATGTTCCTATGAACAGTAACTGTTTTGTATAATCTCAGTCAATATTTATACAACTGTGTAGTGTATTACGAGTAATATTATAAGTCCAAAAAATTATACAAACTCACAAATGTACACTATACAAGGCTGACGAAATTAAGCATAATAGTATACATCAGATCTGCCAACTGAACCAAAGACAATTGAAGAGCAGCAGCATCATCATCCAATAACACCACCAAAGGCAATTAACTAAAGATCACCACAACTCAAAATAATACTCCCTCTGTTCTATGGAGAGTGTCACTTTTAAGAAATCGTAACTCTCACAAATTGAATTGACACGGTTTTCCAATAGCGACATTTTTTTGGGACGGAGATAGTAGTAACTAAAATTGAGTATCATCCAAATGACACCAAAGAATAAATCAAGTGAAGTGCGGACAAGTCAAATGACACCAACACTGTCGACAGGCACATCCAACCCTCAAAGCTTCAACAATCAAGTCCACTAAAGATGGATGGATGGGCAGTAGCAGCAACCAAATCTACGAAACGAAATCAAAATTGAAATGATACAACGTTCTTAATTGTCATTACTATAGAACTTCACATGTTGACACACACGAGAGATTATTAGGTACCTCAATGATATTAGAGACCAAATCAATCCCAAAAGGCATAACACTAGCAGGTGGCATCTGTTGCTTCTTTTTTTCATCTCCTTCCATGTCCACCTTCTTCGGGCTTGTAAAGGGAGAACCACTTGCCCGAAATTTCGAACCATCCTCTATCTCCATGCATTCCTGTATATCAACTATCCTCTCCATGCCTGTATATCAAGATTAAATACATGCAAATAATAAACAAAAGGTAGGAACTAAAAAATAAAGACTACTATCATTTTCTAATAATCAAGAATTTTTTACTGATCAAGAAATTATGACATCTCATTTCTTCAAACTTGGTTAGGAGTGAAAACTTGGAGAAAGTATTTGTGCAAATTTCCTTTGCTATGTGGTATTGCTTACCATGAATGTGGTAAATTAAATAAAGGAATTCAAGCAATAAGCCCCATTAACTTTTTGTGGACTCTGCTACAAAAGCGACAATTAATACAAGATCGATGAATTAACACAATAAGAAGGTTGAAAAAATATATATATATAAATAAATAAAAAATAAAAAAAGAAGAATGTGGAGGCTTCAACAATGGAGTGTATAGAAGCAATATTTGAGCTGCTGTTAGTGGCAAAAAAGGGAGCTTGAGCTCTAGCAAAATAAATGCAGCTCATACGAAAAAAAAAAAAATTTACTTGACAAGCCAATAAAAGATTAACCATCTCATCAAATATGAGCTTCTTTTCGACTTCATTTATTTTTTTCATTTTTAGTCAGCAAAATTCAAAATGTGGTTCAAACAATATGATTTAATTAAGTTGTAACATGAATCTCCTAGTATTTATGAAGACATTAGACCTTACTATAGAGTGTGTTTTTTCCATAAAAGCAGAAATTGAAGCATTGATCCTTCCCAGTTCTCAAACCACAATTGAGGACTAGTTGGGTATATTAACCATTATTAACATATATCTAAAATTGATAAATATCAAATTTTCGGCACATTAGTAGTTGATAAGTAAAATGAGAAATTTTTTTGACTATAATATGAGCCAAAAATTCTGTATCCAAACAATTTTAAGAAAGAAAACATCTTACGAAAACATTTTGATTCCTTTAAAGCTTTGAAGATTGTTCTTCAATACATGACCTCAAACCCTAACCAATAAACCAACTAAAATATCAAAATAATCAATTCATCGTTGTGTTGCAAAGGTATTAGAATACCTCGAGCGAACATTGTCTCTCTATGTTTAGAGATTGATTGAATGCATGAAATGGAGCCCTAACAGATTAATGGCCTCACGAAGTTGAAGAGATTATGAAATTGATCTTTCATTCATTCTTTTGACATGCATGTGTGAATTTGGAACTTCAATCGCAAGCCCTAAAATCCACACGAATTATAGAACGATGTCTCCATGACTCCATTCATGCTTCAAACTGAGCCATAGTCTCGAAGTCACCTCGAAGTGGAAGAGTTCTTGAGAATGGTTAAATGAGAGAGAGAGAGAGTGTGTGTGTGTGTGTGTGTGTGTGTGACTACGCCCTAATAGAAGAAAACACACAAAAAGAGAACAGAGAAACAACCACAGTTACAATTAATTAAGGGGGGAAAAAACCATCATACGAAGACAAAATAGATTAGCAGAAATAATTACCATGACATCCTGCAATTTTCCTAGTGACTTGCGTGCTCTCCACGCTTAACAAGACAGTGGTTTGGAAGGTCTGGTAATTTTCCTAGTGACTTGCACCCAGAAATGTCGAAGAATCTTAATTGTCGTAGCCGTTCAAGTCCCCAAATCTCACCAAGTTTCGCCCAGTTACGAAACCACAATCCCTTTAAATTTGATAGTTTCGACAGATTAGGTGTCCTCTCCAAGTCCTTGTAGGATGACAAGTCCAAATTTCTTAGGAGTTTCAGTTCTTCAAGTCCCCAAATCTCACCAAGTTTCTCACAGTTACGAAGCCACAATAGCTCTAAATTTGATAGTCTCGACAGCTCAGGTGTCCTCTCCAAGGCCGTGCAGGATGACAAGTCTAACTCTCTTAGGAGTTTCAGTTCTTCAAGTCTCAAGGTCTCAATAAGTTTCTCACACTTACAAAGTTTCAATGCCTTAAATTTGTTAGTCTCGACAGACCAAGTGTCCTCTCCAAGGCCATGCAGGATGACAAGTCTAACAATTCTAGGAGTTTGAGTTCCTGAAGTCCCTAAATCTCAGAAAGTTTCTCACAGTTACTAAGACGTAATGTCCTTAACTTTGTTAGTTTGGACAAATCAGGTATCCTCTCCAAGGCCGTGCAGGATGACAAGTCCAAGTTTCTTAGGAGTTTCAGTTCTTTAAGTCCCCAAATCTCATAAAGTTTCTCACACTTACAAAGTTTCAATGCCTTTAAATTTGTTAGTCTCGACAGACCAGGTATCCTCTCCAAGGCCGTGCAGGATGACAAGTCCAACAATTCTAGGAGTCTCAGTTCCTCAAGTCCCCAAATCTCTGAAAGTTTCTTACAGTTACAAAGACGTATGTCCTTAACTTTGTTAGTTTGGACAAATCAGGTACCCTCTTTAAGGTCGTGCATGATGATAAGTTCAAGTTTCTTAGGAGTTTCAGTTCTTTAAGTCCCCAAATCTCAGAAAGTTTCTCACACTTACAAAGTTTCAATGCCTTTAAATTTGTTAGTCTCGACAGACCAGGTGTCCTCTCCAAGGCTGTGCAGGATGACAAGTCCAACAATTCTAGGAGTTTCAGTTCCTCAAGTCCCCAAATCTCAGAAAGTTTCTCACAGTTACAAAGACATAATGTCCTTAACTTTGTTAGTTTGGACAAATCAGGTCTCCTCTCCAAGGTCGTGCAGGATGACAGGTCCAAGTTTCTTAGGAGTTTCAATTCTTCAAGTCATTAAATCTCAGAAAGTTTTTGACACTTACAAAGTTTCAATGCCTTTAAATTTGTTAGTCTCGACAAACAAGGTGTCCTCTCCAAGGCCGTGCAGAATGACAAGTCAAATAATTCTAGGAGTTTCAGTTCCTCAAGTCCCCAAATCTCAGAAAGTTTCTTACAGTTACAAAGACGTAATGTCCTTAACTTTGTTAGTTTGGACAAATCAGGTATCCTCTCCAAGGCCGTGCAGGATGACAAGTCCAAGTTTCTTAAGAGTTTCAGTTCTTCAAGTCACCAAATCTTAGAAAGTTTCTGACACTTACAAAGTTTCAATGCCTTTAAATTTGTTAGTCTCGACAGACCAGGTGTCCTTTCCAAGGCCGTGCAGGATGAAAAGTCAGACAATTCTAGGAGTTTTAGTTCCTCAAGTCCCCAAATCTCAGAAAGTTTCTCACAATTACAAAGACGTAATGTCCTTAACTTTGTTAGTTTAGACAAATCAGGTATCCTCTCCAAGGCCGTGCATGATGACAAGTCCAAGTTTCTTAGGAGTTTCAGTTCTTCAAGTCCCCAAATCTCAGAAAGTTTTTGACACTTACAAAGTTTCAATGCCTTTAAATTTGTTAGTCTCGACAAACAAGGTGTCCTCTCCAAGGCCGTGCAGAATGACAAGTCAAATAATTCTAGGAGTTTCAGTTCCTCAAGTCCCCAAATCTCAGAAAGTTTCTTACAGTTACAAAGACGTAATGTCCTTAACTTTGTTAGTTTGGACAAATCAGGTATCCTTTCCAAGGCCGTGCAAGATGACAAGTCCAAGTTTCTTAGGAGTTTCAGTTCTTCAAATCCCCAAATCTGGAAAGTTTCTGACACTTGCAAAGTTTCAATACCTTTAAATTTGTTAGTCTCGACAAACCAGGTGTCCTCTCCAAGGCCGTGCAGGATGACAAGTCCAACATTCTAGGAGTTTCAGTTCCTCAAGTCCCCAAATCTCAGAAAGTTTCTCACAGTTACAAAGACGTAATATCCTTAACTTTGTTAGTTTGGACAAATCAAGTATCCTCTCCAAAGCCGTGCAGGATGACAAGTCCAAGTTTCTTAAGAGTTTCAGTTCTTCAAGTCCCCAAATCTCATAAAGTTTCTCACACTTACAAAGTTTCAGTGCCTTTAAATTTGTTAGTCTCGACAGACCAGGTGTCCTCTCCAAGGCCGTGCAGGATGACAAGTCGAACAATTCTAGGAGTTTCAGTTCCTTAAGTCCCTAAATCTCATAAAGTTTCTCATAGTTATAAAGACGTAATGTCCTTAACTTTGTGAGTTTGGACAAATCAGGTATCCTTTCCAAGGCCATGCAGGATGACAAGTCCAAGTTTCTTAAGAGTTTCAGTTCTTCAAGTCCCTAAATCTCAGAAAGTTTCTGACACTTACAAAGTTTCAATGCCTTTAAATTTGTTAGTCTCGATAGACCAGGTGTCCTCTCCAAGGCCGTGCAGGATGATAAGTCGAACAATTCGAGGAGTTTCAGTTCCTCAAGTCCCTAAATCTCAAAAAGTTTCTTATAGTTACAAAGACGTAATGTCCTTAACTTCGTTAGTTTGGACAAATTAGGTATCCTCTCCATGGCCGTGCAGGATGACAAGTCCAAGTTTCTCAGGAGTTTCAGTTCTTCAAGTCCCCAAATCTCAAACTGTTTCTCACAGTTACAAAGACGTAATGTCCATAACTTTGTTGGTTTGGACAAATAAGGTATCTTTTCCAAGGCCGTGCAGGATGGCAAGTCCAGCTCTCTTAGGGGTTTGAGCTCCTCAAATCCACAAATCTCACTAAGTTTCTTACACTCGCAAAGTTGCAATTTCTCTAAATTTGTTAGTCTGAACAGATCAGGTGCCTTCTCCAAGGCTGTGCACCATGACAAATCCAGCTTCTTCAAGGATTTCAAAGCCTCAAGACCCTCAATCTCATGTAGCTTCTTGCACTCATGGAGATTTAATTGTTCTAGCTTTTCCAATTTGGATAGATCAGGCAATCTTTCCAAGGATGTGCAACCACTCATATTCAAATTTTCCAAGGATTCCAACCTATCAAGGTACATAATTTCATTCAGATTCTTGCAATCTGCAATACTTAATATCCTTACCTTCTTGAAGTTGGAAAGATCGAGAAATGTTTCTAGTGATTCACGCCCATCTAAATATAACTCTATTAGGAGTTCTAATCTTCCAAGGCCAGGAATCTCCCTTAATTCTAAACAGTGCAAAACACATAGACTTGATAAGTTTTTCAAATTTGACATATCTGGCAACCTCTTCATTGACTTACAATCGCTAACACATAGTGAGTTTAGACTTGAGGGAAGAGCTAGATGGCATTGAAGTTGTTTACAATTATCTACAATAAGAGACAAAAGACTTGAGGGAAGAGTTGGAAGGCATTGAAGTTGTCCACAAAATTGTACACTGAGAGACGCAAGACTTGAGGGAAGAGTTGGAAGGCATTGAAGTTGTTCACAAAATTCTACACTGAGTGACGTAAGACTTGAGGGAAAAGCTGGAAGGCATTGAAGTTGTTCACAATTATATACATTGAGAAATGTAAGCCGAGAAAGGGCACCAATACCTTCAGGAATTTTCAACAGCTTATAGCATTCAATAATTTCCAACTCCTTTAGGTTCACCAGGCTACGAAGGTTTAGAAATGTCTCCATTGACCTGCAAGTGACTTTTAGACTCAGTAGACTAGAGGGAAGGTCTGGGACAAACTCAAGCTTGTTGCAACGCCCTAAATCAAGGGTTTGGAGGTATGAAAGCCCACAAATGCTTGTTGGTAGGCTACAGATATCTGTCCAAGATAAACTTAAGAATCGCAGAGATGATAGTCCCCCAAAATTACTGGGAATTTCGCCTCTCAAGCTGAAACAAGACGAGGCATGTAACTCTTCAAGTTTCAGTAACATTCCAATAGTATCTGGCAACAAGTCCAGCTCAATTAATGATTCTAATTTCCCAATGGAGTCTGGAAGCTCTTTTAATTTGCAGCCCCTTAGTGACAAGCGTCGCAATTTCACTAGCGAACCAATCGAGTCTGGTAGTTTAGTGATACCAGATGAACCACCAAATGTAAGGTCCAACAAAGATGTTAGGTGACCGATTGAGGTTGAAATTTGAGTCAATGAATAACAATGAGTGGCACTAAGAGTTTCAAGCTTCTTCATAACACCTCTACCAATAGGGACTTCTTCCATTGAAGTACCATCGATTAGGAGCTCCGTTAAAGCTTCCACTTTATCAAATTCCAGAGGCAACCTGTTCAGATTAGCACAATTCTTTAAATTTAAGAAAACTATACTCTTGAGATGCCCAATTGATGGGTCAATATCAACCAAACTCTTACAGTCTTCAAGAATCAATCTTTCTAAAGTTGCATATGAAGAGAAGTCAAGAGTCCTAATCATGTTTTTGCAACCTGTGAGATTTAGAACTTTCAACTTTGTTGCTATCTGCAAAATAAGGAAAAAGAGAATTGTTTAGAATCAATTACAGAGAATTATGTGATGAGATACACGAAACAAAAGCAGAGAAATTGATGAAACCTTGATATAATTCCAACCCTCCCAGTCTTTTGTGACCTTACTCTGTGATAAATCAAGAATGACCAGATTCTCTAGATTAAAATTGATTGAGCTAAAATTTTGAGGGCATCCTTTCCAGCAAAGCCATCTCAAATTTAATAGAAGACCCTTAAAATCTCCATCCAGCTTTGCGAAGTCCATCTGAAGGAACCTTAGATTAGATAGGTTTGCAAATTCTTCATTTGTAAGACAGAGAGCTTCATCCCCAGACTCTGATTCAGAGTCTTCAACCTCATACTCTAATTCAAAGTCTTCAACCTGTGACTCTGATTTTAAGTTAAGATAGATAGCTTTAACCTCTGTTGTTCCCTGCCAAAAGAGAACATTTAGATAAGTTGATAATTAGAGGGAATGTTCTGCAAAAGGAGAGAATTTGAGAGGTAATCTATCATAAAGAGATAATTAGGGGGAATGAAATTTAACATTAATAATGAGATGAAACCTATATCAGGATGCTCAATAATTTATGTCCTTGAAAACAATGGTTTGGTTACAACCATAAGTGGCATTTGCAGGCTATAGGTTTTTAATGGCTGACTTGTTGAAAAGGAGTGGCTCAATATAATGAGCTGAGGCTAAGGCAATACTAAACTATTGTTCTTGTTTCTTGAGATGCAAAATTACAAAATTTTGTTAGAAATCTTGCTTATTTATTTACTAATTTTTTTGGTAATATTTTGTTTATCATTACAAGTGCTTCTTTTTTAAATAAATAAATAAAAACAAAAATGGAATTAATTTACCCAATCCCTTCTTTTTTCCTTTTAGAAATTTTTACTAATCCTATTTCACATTTTTAAATAAAACGTATTTATAGATAAAAAATAAAAAAAAAAGTAAATTAAAGAACAATAGAACCGACCTTATGCAAGATTTATTGAAAGTGTTCTAATTATAAAAATGCAAGATTTTCTCACCTAGAAATTAAACATAGAGATAATTAACTAATTTGCTTGATCGTATAAAAAACATGATGAGTTTAGAAGAATATGGAAATGAGGAGTTGATAAATATAACTGAAAATGTGTGAGAGGAGAAATTGCTGGAGATTCTTGACATTAAAAATCCTAAAATGGGCCAAGTAGAAAGATAATATATAAAGGGCTGCTTTTGAGTATTTCATAGCTCATACATAATTGTGTTAGTAAGGTGACAAGAAAATTAATGCATAACAAGGACATCAGGAAGGAGTTGGATCTTACTGTATGCCTCTTCAATACGTCGATGGCTTCCTCATGAAACCACACCCTACTACGCTTCCCCGGCTCTTGAAAATTTTCTTGGCAAACAATATCTCTACCAAGGTCTCTAAGCTGGTCATGCATCCTTAGCTCATTATTAACTCCAATTTTCACCAACGACGGGCGGCGAAGAACTCCAATATCTGTTTTGGGAAAATTCCACATGTGGACAGCAATTCTTTCATCCACCCCAATGAAAAGGCATGCAATATCAAGAAATATTTGTTGTTGATTATAGTTTAATGCATCGTAACTTATTTTCAGCTTGTCCTGCACATCTTTATGCGGGATTCTTTTCAACTTGTTTATTGTATCTTCCCATTCCTCTTTTTCGATGCCAATAAAAAGTGAGCCAATAACTTCAAGAGCCAAAGGCAACCGTCCAGTAGTAGACACAATATCTCTAGATAAAGTAACATAGTCTTCTGGGGGATGGTCGCTTCTAAAAGTATACGTGCTGAAAAGTTGAAGAGATTGATTATCATTCAATTCCTCTGGTTCGTAAGTCCTACAATCTACCTCGAGCAGTTTTAGAATCTCTTTGTTTCTAGTTGTGACAATTATCCTTCTACCTGAACCAAACCAATCACACTTTCCCAAAAGTGCAAATGCATGAAGATGATTTCTGTGATCGACATCATCAACGACAACACGAACTTTCTTTCCAGAAAATCTATGTTTGATTGCATTAATTCCTTCATCCATGGACCTAACTAAGACAGAGTGTCCCTGTTTCAAGATGCTAGATACAAGTTGGTATTGCAAATCAACAAGACCAATGCGTTGTTGAGCTTTTTCTCTAACGTCTGCAAGGAAGCAACAGGATTCAAATTCAAATTTCTGTTGAGAGAGATTGTTGTAGATGACCCTGGCAATAGTGGTCTTGCCGATACCTCCCATGCCATGGATTCCCACAATCCTTACATCAATGGAATTAACACTCAACAATTTCATCATTTTTTCTACATGAACATCAATTCCAACTAAGCATTCATGATTTACATCCACTGAGTTCTTTTTCACCTTTTCCCATACCTCTGAAACAATGTTCTTTACCAGTGCTCCTTCATGCCTGCCAAACATAATTGATGTCACATGTATATGGGAAAACTGATAAATATATATGGCCTATTTAAATTTTCTACAGTTATTTTCTATTCTCAGAAAATTAAAAATTAAAAGTAGATTCAAAATTCATTTGATTAACAAACTGTTGTTAATTTGTAAATTAAGTTAAACTTAACCAAACAAGTTCGTAGTTGTCTCAAAAAAGGTGGAAAATAATGATGATTTTATTTTTCTGTGTGTGAAAGTTCAATATAAATATAGATATATATAGATATATATATGTATATACATGTATGGATGGTAGATCTACAGATGCAATTACCCATCAGCAAATTTCTTCACTTCCCGTCCCGTCAATCCCCCAACCTCCTTCAATGCCTCCTTCCAACCCTGCACAGTATCACCATCAAAATTCTTCTGAAGGCCTCTTCGTAACTCTCCTTCTGCTCGCGCACAGCGGACGGTTTGACGTCGTAGAAAATGGGAATTATGATGTGCTCCCGAGTGGTCTTACACTCAACCATCTTGGTGAGCTCACGCAGGCACCACTCACTTGAAGCATAGTCTTCGGAAAAGATGTGAATGGATATCTTTGAGTGCTCGATTGCGTTGAGAATCTCACTAATATTCTCTCCAAGGCGAAGAGCCTTGTCGTCTCTAAACGTGTGGATTCCTTTCTCCCGAAGGTAGCAGTAGAGGCGATCACTGAATCTCTTACTGGTATCATCGCCTCTGAAACTCAAGAAGACTTCATAGTCCCATCCTGCAGCAGCAGGTGGAGAGGTGGACAATGAACAAGTGTTGGAAGGTGGTAATGAAGTGTTCGTTTCAAAGGTGTGAGAGGAGAGGCTTATGCAGTGATGAGTTGCTGTTATGTTTGAGTGGTTAACAATGAAATTTAACCAAAACAATGATAATAAATAAGTGGGCCGATGTTGATCGGATTTTCACATTGTAATTTGACAAAACAAGGGTGATATATTTGTCATGTTGGTTGAAAAACAGATTATTTTATAATGTGCAAAATTTCTACACTAGGCGTCAAAAGAAGATTGGGTTCATCATTATTGTTTTGAATGTGAACGTGGTAAGATTCAGTGGACTGAAAGTGATGTTAAAGGAACAGTATTATTTACTAGAATAACCCTTGGGAAGGGAAAAGGTTTGTTCCCTGTAACTTCCTTCTTCTGAACTCTGAAGTAAGCTTCCTCCGCAATCAGACCTCAAACCTCAATCCCAACATATACAAATACAAAATATATACTTGTGACTGTGTGTGTATATAGGTAGAGAGAGAGAGAAATGGGAGTAAAATTTAGGAAGAATTTACCGGTTGGTTTGGTCTTGAACTAGTGAGAAATCACCAATTTTATCAACCAAATTGAAACATGCTAACCAAACTCCATTCTAGATGGGCAGAGAGCTGGCTTAAAACTTAGGGTTGCATGATTTTACACAATTCTTCAATACGACTCAAACACGACACAAGATACACGGATTTGAATTTACCTTAAATGAGTTTGAGTCATAAAATGATTAACTCGTTTAATTAATAGTGTCGTGCTAGGGTCGAGAGGTTCAACACGTGTAATTTAGACCCGTTTAACTAAGAGTTTCATAATCATATTAATATTACTCGTTTAACTCATTACCGGTTTAGATCCATTCACTATAGATAAGTAACTCATTTCAGCATAAGCCCTAACAAAAATATACATTAGCTCTTTAATTAATGTATATTTTTTTATAGTATTTTATTATTTGATTGAGTATTATAAATAATTTAAATAATATAATGTTCGATTTTGGTAAATAGGTCATTAAACAGGTCAACACATCTAACCCATTTAATAAACAGGCCAGATTAGTGTTGAGAGTTCTTGACACGATTATTAAATGGGTTGGCTTAGTGTTGACCTCTTCAGTATAATACCCTTAAGTTGACACGATTATGACACGCAAACATGAATTGTCACCCCTACTTAAAATTCTCATTTAAGACCCTTTTTTTAGACTAATATCTCCTTTTCAAGAGTTATTATTATTTATTAATTTCATTTACATTGGCATTCTTATTTCAATCTCTTTTCACCCATTGTAAGTTTCAGCAAACTAAATTACACTGATAAAATGTTGCCCTAAGGAATTTTCCGGTTGGGATAAAGATTTTGAATGAACAATATGAGAGTATTGTCTCTTGCAAACAAAAATTATTGTGACGTCGCTTATAACTAACCAATGGAACCTCTACATGCATTTTCAATTTTTCCAAATCAAGAGCGGAATACATAATGATTTAGAGAATTGGCTATTTCAAAAACATATGGCTAGCCTTTTGACTGTAAAGCCGCTAACTATGCACATTCATTTCAAGTACATCTATCAAACAGTTAAATCCATAAGGAGCAACTCTAGGTGCACATAAACAACCAATGATAACATAGGATAAATTGATGAAAAGTTGAAAACCTTGGTACTAGCACAAATGTCTTGTTATAATCTCTATATTGCCCTTTTGACAACCATATCTTGCTAGATACAGCAATCTACAATATTGCCAAATGTATAAACAGCTCTTCAACCAAGTAAACTCTAAAACTATAAAGCAAACTAATAACAAAAGAGAAACAAATTATTTAAGTAAATTAAAAATAGGGTAAAGTACAACTACGCTCCCTGAGGTTTGAAAAAAAGATATTCAGAGAAAACTTACCTGTTTTTTAGACAAAGACATCCCTGAAAATTCAAAAATGGACAAAGACACCCGTTTACATGAGAAATTGACCAATTACTCTTTGACCGTTTAGGAGACTTTTTTAACTTTACAATTTAATAAATTGGACCAATCTACCCTCATGAACATTTTATGCATAAAAAAAAAGTAAAAAAAAAAAAAAAAAACTTTATGTTGTTCACTTTTTTTTTTTTTTTTTTTTTTTTTTTTTTTTTTTGTATGTTATTTACTTTATAAATGTCCCAACTTCTTAAAAATATAGACGTCTAAAATGATTTTTTGATCCAATACATATATTTCAAATAAATTATATATTTTTTATTACTTCTTTTCTTTTTCTTTTTCTTTTTCTTTTTAAATTAAGATACTTAATTCTTTCATCTAAAAAAATTAAACCAATCTCTTTTCCTTAAAAATAAAAAATATAGTACTAGTATAATTTTATGCATCATAAATTAGATATCAAATATTATGCATTTCCCAACATAAAAGAAAATAGGTACCAGTATAACTTTATGCATCTTAACTTTACGCATGCCTTTGTTTTTTTTTTTTTTTTTTCCTTTGTTTTATTATTATTTTTTCCCTTTGTTTTTTTTTTTTCTCCCCCTTTTTATGTTGGGAAATGTATAATATTTGATATATAGTTTAAGATGCATAAAGTTGTATCGGTACCATATTTTTTATTTTTAAGGAAAAGAGATTGGTTTAATTTTTTTAGATGAAAGAATTAAGCATTTTAATTTAAAAATAAAAAAGAAAAATAAAAGAAGTAATAACGCAATATAATTTATTTGAAATATATGTATTGGATCAAAAAATCATTTTAAATGTCTACATTTTTAAGAAGTTGGGACATTTATAAAGTAAAAAAAAAAAAAAAAAGTGAACAATATAAAGTTTTTTACTTTTTTTTTTTATGCATAAATTGTTCATGAGAGTAGATTGGTCCAATTTATTAAATTGTAAAGTTAAAAAAGTCTTCTAAACGGTCAAGGAGTAATTTGGTCAATTTCTCATGTAAAGGGGTGTCTTTGTCCATTTTTGAACCTTCAGGAGGTGTCTTTGTCCAAAAAATAGGTAAGTTTCCTTTGAGTGTCTTTTTATCAAACCTCAGGGGGTGTGGCTGTACTTTACTCTTAAAAATATAAAGAAAATTACCTAAAATTAAAAACTCTTTAAAAAAAATAATAAATAAATAAACCAAATAAAAAAAATACTAAAATCTGTTTGTGTCAAAAGTTAAGATCACCATGTTTGTGTTAAAAGTTTGAGAAATAACAGCTCTATTGTTGGACCAAATGGAGGAAAGAACATATTAAGATCACCATAGTTGAAATTTTCCAGCTTATGTGAAGGTGTCATAGTCAGCAAAAGCATGGTTATGTTGAAAATTTGAAGAAATAATAAATTTGTATTCGGGTATGTATGGGACGGTTGTTACATAACATCATTACTATTTATATAAATATATTAAAAAAATTACCATCATGAAGGTGTCATAGCGCATGCTTCTGTTGAAAATTTGAAGAAATGATAATTTATTTTTGGGTAGGTGGAAGAGGTTACATATCAATATTACTTTTTATCAAAAAAAATCAACTTCATTGTACAAAATTTTCAATTTATACGAAGGTGTCATAGTCAGCAAAGCAAACACATGCTTATGTTAAAATTTTCTTGTATTGTTTTTCATTCATCATCATTGTCGTAAAATAAAAAATGAACACAATGAAGAAGTGTTCAGAGGTGGTACTGTAGGTGCTAATGAAGTGTTGATGATCTTCTTCAAAATGAACACAAGAAAGGTGAGGAGAATTGCAGGAAGTGTGATGAGACAAGATAGCCAGAAAATAGATCGTTGAATCCACCTCAAATGTGCGAGAGGAGAGTCTCACTACTGATCAGGGGCGGAGCCAATTAAGCCCAGAGCGGGCACGTGCCCCCCTCACTTTACTCCAACCTATTATATATAGGTACATATTTTTGATATATACATACACTTACATGGTAATTTTAAATAGTGTCTCCCTCAAATTTTCAAATCCTTCTAATTTCCTTTTGAAAAAAAAAAAAAGTTGCATATATCCCTTCTTCAAGTATACAATATATTTTTTCTTTTCTAATTTTTTTTTTTCCTTTTTCAAAAAAAAAAAAAAAATTTCTTTTTTTACTTATGTATAATTATGTATTTTTCTATTTTTTTAAACTTATTTCTTTTATCGATGACATTTGTGATTGTATTTAATTAAAATATTATTAATTAATATTTTGATTCTTATATTTGTAACTATATTTTTTTACAGTATTTATTTAGCATATTATTTTACAACTATTTTTTTTTGTTATTTGCCTTTTTGATTTAAAAAAATTATGCTTCCTATTTGTCATGTTTATTATTATTATTATTATTTTATTTATTTATTTTATAACAAGTGCATTATGCCCCCTCTGAAATACAATTCTGACTCCGCCCCTGCTACTGATGAGTTCCTGTTAAGTTTTTTTTTTTTTTTTTTTAAGTAAAGAAGTTCCTTTTAAGTTTCAGTGGCTAGATATGAAAATGATGGGAACCTAACTCTTTTTCACATCGTTTTTTATTTAATTTTCACACAGTGACAGTAATATGCAACCTAACGCTTAATTTTCACGTCGTTTTTGACTTTCTTGTCTACCATTTGGCACATTGATTCATGATAGTGATATACAACCCAACTCTTTTTGACCGGGACATCGTTCAGCAAAAGGCATCCTTTAGTAAAATGCAAACTCTCTCTTGTATTGTTTTTGTGTCTGGCCCTTCATCTCTGGACTTGGTCTTGTTCTTTAGTTGCTTCCTTTTGTGGCCTTTCTCAATCAATACAATATTTTTATTAGGATAAATTAACACTGATCTTTATTAGGATAAATTAACACTCACCTTCCTTAAGATTTGATTTTCACATAGTGACAGTGATATGTAACCTAACTCTTAATTTTCACATTGTTTTTTACTTTATTGTCTATAATTCAGCACATAATTCGGGATAGTGATATGCAACCCAACTCTTTTTGACCGGGACATCGTTACATCTATCTAAACTTTAAAAAATATTTTTTATTATGATTCTTTTTCCATCTATTCAAACTTTAAAAAAAATTTAAATTTTTTTTCTTTCCTTTCTTTTCTAGTTGATTCTAACCAAACAAAGCCTAATAATTAGTTTAGTTAGCTTGAATTAGCAAGAAAGAAAAAGAAACAAAAAAATTTTAAAATTTTTAGCAGTTCGGACGCAGAAAATTTTAGTTTCGGGTAGTTTCCTCTTATACCTTTGTAAGTTGTTTCTCTTCGTTCTTCTTAAGACTCACAAAAGGAAAGTTTTCTTAAACAAATTAATACTCCTATTTTGATTACAACTCTCTTATTCTTCAAATTCAAAATTTTCGCAAAGTAAACTAATCTAATAGCATAGTCCTAATATATAATTCAAACTTCCCAAAACAATAAAATAAAATAAAATAAAAACTATATAAAGAGACAAATACCAAATACGTATCTAGACATATACATTTATTCATAAATTCAATTGTATATATTATTTTATTACTATTATTATTATTATTATTTTATTATTAAATTCATAAGGGTAATTTAATTGTATATATTATTTTACTACTATTATTATTATTTAATTGTATATTGTTATTATTATTATTTTACTATTAAATTCATAAGGGTAATTTTGACCTGTAAAATCATTTTCCTTCCACTTCCATGCTATTCAAACTAATTAAACAATATTTTCTCACAAGTTTCTTTAAAAAAATCTTACTAACCAAATGCATAATAGAAAACTAATTTTTTTTTTCTTTCATTTCACTTTCTTTTCTTTCACTTTTCATTATCAATTTCTAGCTAACCAAACGGATCCTAATTAAAATGCAAACTTTCTTGTATTGTTTTTGTGTTTGGCCCCCTTATCTCTTGGGCTTGGTCTTGTTCTTTAGTTGCTTCCGTTTGTGGCCTTTCTCAATCAATACAATAATTTTATTAGAAAAATTATACTGATCTTCCCAAAAATTTGGGCAAATCGTGTACAGGTGAAACGTTTAAGATTTATTACAATGACCTCCCCTAAAGTTTTATTGTTATGCTCAATGGCCCATTTGATGTGATTTGTCAGTCAAAATGGTCAACAAAAATTTTTAAAATGGCATCTGATATGAATGGACAATAAGAATAAAAAAAACCAACTAATGTAATGACCCGGTCATTTTCCCTCATTTCTTTTTTCTCAAATTTTACGGATAAATTTTTTCAGTTAAATTTTATTTTTCAAGTTTTGTTTCTCGTCACTTGGTGTCGTCTCGAGTGCTTGGAAATGGTTTCCGAGACTCTTTTCTTTGGATTGACAACTTCCTTTAAGGACCGAGTCATTTCTACATTTTCACTTTTTGGACACTATTCACTTTTCGTCTTTTTCCCCATTTGTCACTTTTTGGCACAACCTCACTTTTTGTGCTCGGAATTGATTTTCAACTTCACGTATCTTCATTCTAAGTGGTTTCCACGAAATACGTATCTTTACTTTTGTAAAAAAATACTTTGGTTGCTCCCTGTGTCCATAAGGGTATGGATACATAGTTTCTTCAGAAACATTTTCTTTTCTTGGGGTGTTTTTCATAAATATTTTTTGAAGATATTTTATTTCAGAGGTTTTTAAGAAAACATTTTTAGAAGATATTTTCTTTTTGGGTCATTTTTGCAGTTATCCTTTCTTGGAAGGGCATTGTGCAATTAACGAAAATTATTGCAAAATACCTCATTTTGAGTCTGGATTCTCGTACGGAATTCATTTTCACATTTTGTCGAGTTGGGTACTCTAAAAATTTCCTTCTGGTCGTTTTCCCTAGTTTTAGGGTTTTCGGCTTCGGTTAGCGCTGAACTTATTCGGGACATATCTTTCTGCTCGGGACTTGGTTTTCGACGCCGTTTTTTTCGCTATTCATTTTTTTTTTTTCATTTCGGTTCTTTTTCGTTCACGGTGTTTTACCGTTTGAGAGCGTCTGCGCAAATTTCACTTTCCGGACTCGGCGGCGCCCGTTCGGGGCACTTTTAGGGTTTTACTATAAATAGAATGATGAAGAACTCTTGAAGAAAATTGTTCCAATGATGTATGAGATTGAAGTTCAAGATGATAAGAATTTCTCAAATTGTTTTTTGAAAATTTTTTTGGAGAATTTTGTTATTGACATAGGTTGGGTGAATATGGAGTTATTTTTTTATTCCAAAGAAGAAAGACATAAGAAGTTCAAAAAGTTTCAAAAATTCAAGGAGAGAGAAAATAGATGGTGCGCCCGTGTGAAGAAGATAAAGGTTGATCATGAGAAGGCATAATTCAAGCATTTGAAGAAGTTTCACAAGCCTTACACATCAACGGAAATGGCTAAGAAAATTATAGCAATTTAAGGAGGTGGAACTCAAGACCAACCAACGAACTTTTGATTAAGCCCCAAGATCAATAAGAAGTTTTTTAAAGTTACAAAATCAAGTTTAAAGGGGGGTGTTGAAAAATAAACTTGATTTTAGAATTTTAGTAGTAATTAGTATTTTCAAGTATTTGGTATACATGATACAAGTGTGCATTTCATGGTAGTGGAGTAGTAAATAGTCTTGATGGTGAAGGTTATGTAAAACCAAGAGGTGGGAATGAAACCTCCTAAATACCATGTTAATGGGAGTTAAGCCTAAATGGCATGTTAGTGTGAGTAATTGAGCACTAAAATGTAATTGTTACACCTATGTTCATGTGGCCTATATATACATGTACTCTAGTCAAAGAAATTAGAATATGTTAAAGAATAAGTTGAGATTAATTGAAATAATATACTTCTTCCTCCATTTCTCTTCCAAATTATAGTGAATTGTATTTGTTTGTTCAGCCCACTTATTTCCAACAAAGTGGTATCAGAGTAAAGGCAGAAAGTGATATCAGAGCAAAAACCAACAAGACACCCCTTTAACTGGCCATGCGAGGGTGCTGTATATGTTTATGTATTTAGAAAGAAACAAACGGATATGATACAAGTGATTTTTCGGGTCTTTTCTAACCAACTTTACACCAAACAGTTGGGATTGTTGGGAAATTAAACAGGAAAAAAAAAAAAAAAAAAATCAAACACACACAATGACACACAGATGGTTCACTTAAGCTAGGGTAAAGGTTGCAGGATTTATCAGGATGAATAAATACCCAACTAGTAGGGCAACATATGAAGTGGAATTCAGTAATTTGTGAAGTTGGCTAAAGTGTACAGAATATTAGGCTCCACATCATACTTAAAACCAAAAAAAAATTTCGAGTGAAAAACTTGAAAGCAGAACTTGGATTAGATAAGATTACGTGAGATATATACTTTGTTTTCAATTGTTTAATTTAAAGTTATTTGGGAGGAGGGATAAATCATTTGATGTCATTTAAGTATGGTTCGTCACCAAGGCCCTTGTGCCCACTAGCATCTCCTCTATTATCTTTTCAAGGTGAATGGTATGAATTTGAGGAAAGAATCAAAATAGTTGGATTTTGAATAATGCATGTGAATTTTTTGTCAATGACAAAAATAAAAATTTTAAAAAAAGTATGATTTGGCATTTGTTTTTTCTTTTTTCTTGAGCCATTATCTTTATATGGAAGTTCTAATTTATTTATTTATTTTTTTCGAAAGGTTAGGCAATGTATTACTGTAAGTAGACTGTACAAAGGCCACAAAAGTGGAGAGATGGGAATATATATATAAGTGTAAGTATTTATATAGAGTAGCCCATTGGCTAAAGTATTGTCCTGAGGCCTTGTATGGCCTATTGGCTCAAAACAAAGGGACCAACAGTCGCCAAAAACAATTAACCAAAAAGGCCCATAATAGTTGAAATCAGACGAATAGCCGTTGGTAACGGATGGAGGATGAGCCTGTTAACAATGGAGATTCGATGCACTTCCAGTTTGGCGAAGTGGAGAAGGAAGACCCAGGCACGTTGATCAATCAAGAGGTCTTGGTGGAGGACGATGACCAGAAGTCGAAGCCCAAGCATTCAGTAAGGATGAGAGATCGCAATTGTGAGATTTTCTTGAATCTAGGGTTTCTAAAGCAGAGGAGATGATTTGTTTCAAGACTCTGGATTGCGAGGATGATCGATTCCTGAACACCCTATTGTTGCGTTCTTGAGAGGGCATTTGGCTTTCCACTGGCTGCTTAGGGAGGTATATGCCTAAAATCACTGTTTTCAATTTGTCAATAGTGTTGCTAATTAATCAACTATTAGAAGAGAAACAACTAATATTAGTGTACAACCAAAAAACCAAAAAAAATGTGGCTTACTCTGGAATTAATTCTAAGGTTTTAGGTTCAATTCCAATCTCACTTGCATGTATCGGGAAAGCGATAGATGTGCCTCCACCATTCACAGAGCATACTTCCTTTGAGGCCTAGTTCCGATATCATGGAGCTATAAATAGTTTCACCTCTCAAAGCAATGCAACCTGTTGCAACAAAATTACGCTATCAACACATTATATGTGATTTTTTGTACTATTTTACTTTTTATCCTTGATATATGCATTCTTCGATATGAAGTTAGAAACTTAATACAAGTGGCACATATTAAGGTAAAATTACGATATATTCCTATGGTTTGGAAGTTAATTGTATAAACTAATTTATTAAAGAACTATTTGGAAAGAAATGCCTCTTAAGATGATGTTAAGTTCTAAATGTGCCTTGCTAAATTATATTTACAATTAAACGTAACATAAAATAGATACCTTTCTGTTTATTGCTTTTCTCGGCTAGCAAGAAATTTATGTCCGATCTTCTTTAGTGTTGCCAAGACTTCTACCATGTTTATCCTATCCTGTGGTGATTCTGCACAACAATTCAAAGCCAATTGCATGACGAATTATACACACTGCACCTTAGCACACAGTTGTCCGTCCTCTGATGTGACCAAGTTGGCATTATAATATGAATTATCGCACTAGGTAGTGACTCATTTACCCACAGCTTCAAGCTCAAATCTCCAGCAAACATATCATCAGTGGGCTTAGTTCTTGTAAACATTTCCATTAACAGAATACCATAACTATAAACATTGGACCTTGTGGATACTAGTCCTTTCAATCCCTACTCTAGATCCCACATCAGAACTAATCAAAGGAATTAACATGTGGAAGGAAAGTTAAGCTCCAGTTAAAATTTTGTTACAATAAGAAAGAAAACCTAAATTAAGATTTGAATGAAAATTAAAGTTGAAAGCATCACCTGGTGCAATATATCCCAATGTAGCTAGAGTCGTGGTGTGCCCAATACTCTCTACCCCTCACCTAAGAACTTTTAAATGCCAAAATCACAGTGATGTGCAACCATATCTTCATCTAGCAGGACATTATTGGGCTTCAAATCACAATGAACCACGGGTATTGAATTACCATGGTGGAGATAGTCCAGCGCACATGCCAAATCTATCATTATGTCTAATCTTTGTAACATATCTAGGAAATAGTTATGAGAATACAACCACTTTTTGAGACTCCCATTAGGCATGTATTGGAGTACCAAGGCTTTGAAATGTAGGTTGGAGCAACCACTGATAACTTTGGTGAGATTTCTGTGACGAAGGTTGCACAACATTTCACATTCTGTATCAAAACTCTTGGATGCAACTTCTAGTTGCAAATTGAATACCTTGATTGCCATAATGGTTCCATCCTTAAATGTCCCTCTGTAAACAGAACTCAAACTTCCCGTTCCAAGCAAGTTGCTATCACTAAAACCTTCAGTAGCATATAGAAGTTCTTGATATGTAATTCTTCGATGTGCTGATGTGGGTAAAAAACTCCATTTGAGTTGGAGTTTTGTTTCTCTTTTGGCATCTTATAAATACAAATGAGAAGGTTAAGGTAGTTAAAGCAATTGGCAACAAAATGTAAAGAACTAGAAGCACTCTTTTTGTCTGAGATTTGTGAAGAGAGCTCGAACTGCATGGTAGGACTTGCAACTGTGGGGCACCACATAGTGCTTCATTCGCCATGAAGGATTGATTCGTGAAGTTTGCAAATGGTCCTCTGGAGGGGATCTCTCCTCTTAGCCTATTGAAAGATGCATTAAAATGATGCAAAAGTGACTCCATTGGCTTCGGAATTACGCCTGAGAGATTGTTGTAAGATAGATCCAAGAATTCCAAGCTTATCAAGTTTCCAAATGACATGGGAATAGGTCCTTGTAGTCCATTATGTGCTAAAGAAAGATTGATTAAGCTCTGCAGACCTCCAATTGTGCTAGCGATATCCCCTGAAAATCTATTGTGTGATAGATCTATTTGTATTGCGGCCTTTAGACTTCCAATCTGTGAGGGAAGAGAGCCCCTCAAAGAATTTGAGGACAAGTTCAATTTCAAGATATCTTTGAGGCTAAATAGATTTATTGTGGAGGTTAATTTGTTGGCGCCCAGAAAGAGTTCTCTTAGAAATGTAACATCCCCTAAGCAAGTTGGAATTGGACCAACAAGTTCATTTTCACTCAGATCCAATGAAGCCAAGTTCTTTAAATAGCAGAGACCATTTGGAATGGGCCCTTGTATCCTGTTATACCCAAGATCTAAAATTTGAAGCCTTGGCAACTTCTTTATTGTGGTTGGAATAGATCCAGTGAAGCCATTACCATGTAGACGTAAGAAAAACAAATTGGTCAAGTTACTAATATGGTTAGGAATGTTGCCCTTAATTTCACAATCACCTGCCTGAATATCTTGAAGCAAAGTGGACAGATTCCCAATGGATACTGGAAGGATGCCATTTAGAGGATTTCTTTCCATTCACAATATTCTTAAACGCTTGCAATTTGTCAAGGCAATAATAAATCCCAATTCTTGGTTCGAAGATTCGCTCATGAAGTTGTTTCCTGCTAGGTTTAGAAATTTGAGCAGTTCCAAGTTACCAAGTGAGTTGGGAATGAAATGGTTGAAGTTGTTAGAGGAAAGGTCTAAACGAATGAGTTTGGATGCATTTGAGATTGAGGGAGGGATAATTCTGTCGAGGTTATTCAAACGAAGGTACAATTCTTCAAGATTGGCTAACCTAATACTCAATGGAAGTTTGCCTGAAAGATGATAATTGGCCGCCAATGCAATGCTTCGTAGTTTTGACATGTTGAATAATTTTGAAGGAATTGGACCTTTTAAGCTATTCAAACTTAATTTTAAACTCTCTAGATCGGAAAGATTTTCAATCTCTTGTGCTATTGCACTTGCAATTAAAAATGTGAAGTTTATGACAACATGTTCTACTAAGCTCCCATCCATTGGGAATATATATATATATATTGTGTTCAGTTGCATGAAATTGGAGCCTTGGAATTGGAATTAGAGGAAAGGAATTAAAATTAAAATGAAATTTTCTCCAATTTCACTAATTCCAATTTCAAAACTCCAATTGCATGTAATCCGATACAACCTAAAGAAAGTTAGAAATGCTTGCTATTCAACAAAGACTCTAACCCACTTCTCAAAATCGAACATATAAAAAATAGATAATGAAGAGGATATATACCAGTCAAACTATTGTATCGAAGATGTAATTCAATGAGTGAAGTAGAGTTTCCAATTTCTCTTGGAATGCTTCCATACAGTTCATTGCTGCCAAGATAAACTACTTCAAGCATAGGAAGATGCCAGCTCATACCCCGTGGCAGAGTACCAGTTAATTTATTGCTATCTAGATAAAGCTTTTTCAAATAAAAAAATGTTAAAGACAGAAGATGGATGGTTCCAGAGAGGCCAGCATCATCAATTGCAAGCATCTCCAAAATATGAAAATTTCCCAACTCTCGTGGAATTTTACCTACACATTAATACAAAATGACCAGCAAATCTCTATTTCAAGCATATACGGAGTAATAATAAGAGTAAACCGTTAGAAAATATTCTAGGTTTTCCATTTAAAACAAAGCTGTTTTCCAACATAGCATGTAACTTGAGGCCAACAAAACTGGAACACAATTACTAAAAGACTGCAATGAAACACAAGTAGAGGTACTGTCATGTCTATTTTTAAGAGCCTCCTCTGCTTCATGGCGTTTTACAATTCTGTTCAAAAATCATCGTCTCTATACATAATCACTTTATCCGGCCTGAGATGGACTTTCAAAGTAAAAAATGTAAATTATATTCACCTTTTGGGAAGCCATAAAGTTATTCCTGAGATGGACTTTTAAAGCATTAATTTGAATATATCCTCATACAATTATTCCTCTAAGTAATTAATATACAACATTAATATACCACAATTTTCCAAACTTTCATGGTATGCAAAACTTTTATCAGAATCACTGTGTAAGAAAGATGAAGTCATTGCAGATATGCAAGCACACATGCATGGATATAGTAATTAAGGGAGAAAAAAAAGCAGTATCTATGTACATACCTTTTAAGTTGTTTCCGCCAAGATATAACTCTTTCAGAATGGTTAAATTTCCGATCTCTCTTGGTATTGCTCCACTGAATTTGTTATTTGATAATGACAAGATTTGAAGTTGGGAGCATTTATATAAAGTGGAAGGAATTTGGCCATGGAACTGGTTATTGGCCAGACCAAGTCTGTAAAGTTTTGGAACACAGTAGCTATTATTAATTGAAAATAATTCATCTTTAACTTCGTGAAATGGGATTTGGTCATATTTTTAGTAGTTGCACTATTTCTTCTTTAACTTTGTTGCATACCTTACGAACATGTGCACCCTTTGTTTTTAAATGATGTTAATATGCTTTTTTCCTTTGTTGCCTAGTTTGCAAAAAAAAAAAAAATAGCCTTTGAGATGGTCTTTGAGTATATTCAAATATTGTTTAAGTGAATAAAATAAATAAATAAATAATAAGACTGAATTTTGTTTTTATTTGGAAATTTGAGCAACTGGATTACACGCTAAAATCATGAGGAGCTAAAAACAAAATGCATACTAAAGAGACAACATGGAAGGCTCGGAGGTATTGCGCGAAATTATACAATACCTGGTATTGAACATGTGGTATTCCGTTTAATGAACAAAGATCTTTTTTTTTTTTTTTTTTTTTTTTCCTTAAAACCATCCATTTTTGTGTATCAAGGCAAATTGAGAATTTTTATAACTGTGCATTGGACTTGGTACCACCTATGTAACCTCTCTTAGTTATTACAATCATGAGATGTTATTACAAACATGAGATGTGATTGAACAACACTCATGATCATAATTTTTTCCATTTTGGGTAAGACACTTTGTGTGTGTGTGTGTTGTAGATGATGATAATGTTTGAAATTTCATCATATATATATATATATGGGGGGTGGGGGCAGTTTTTCTTTATTATAAATACATGTCGTAGTAGAGTATTTATTTATTTATAACAAGGTAGAACATATTCAATCATCAATAATGTTTCAGAGTTCTCTTTGCCTAATATTTTATAGATTCAAAGTTGTTCTTTCCAACTTTAAACATTTATATATTTCGTTTCTTCAATTGGTATTAGAGCCTTAATTTTAACCTTATCTGATAGTAATAGATAGTGATGACATCAACCACTTTGATGATGATAATCACGGAGTACAGACCCTTTACGCAACTATGCATACTAAAGAGCAATGGTTTGAACATATTATGTTGGAAACCGCCTGTTTGGATGGGCTTTCTTTAGGCTCAAAACGGGCTTCCAGGCTCAAAAAGTCTATTGCCAATAATGATGAGTGTTTGGAAATCCAGAAGTCTACAAAACTTGCTTTTAGATCTACTTGTGCAAGTGTAATAAACTCCAAATTCCTATATTGTCCATTATCTAACTCTTTTTTCCTAAAAAAAAAAAACCCCTTTCTTCACCTTTCCAAATACACCACCACCACCACCACCAGGGCGGACCAATTAGGGGGCATGTGCCTCTTGCCCTTGCTTCAACCTACTATTCGTAGGTACATATATTTTTGGTATATACATATACTTATATAGTAATTTTAAATAATATCCCCTTAAAATTTTCAAATTCCCTTAATTTCCTTTTTTTTATTTAAAAAAAGTTATATATATATTCTTTTTCGAGAACACCAAATATTTTTCATTTTCTAATTTTTGTTTCCTTTTTTTAATGTAAATGTTACAAACTAATATGCACATGGGATGACGTCACTAGGGGCGATTTCACCCTAATAGGGGCGATTTGAGGGCGATCGTGGTTTCTTCGTCTAAGATGAAATGTTTTTATAGAAATTGTAAGGATACCAAGAATTACACTCAGAGGGGATGTGAAGTCGGCAACTCCTCATCGAGGGCCGTCACTGTACATCGATGGGGACTCCGTCGGAGAGAGAAAAACGTTATCTCATCTTGTTTGGTTGGCCATTTCGACAAGGAAGTTGGGGCGTGCGATCGGATTGAAGAATGGGCAGCTCGGGCATGGAATACGTCTTGTGGGGTGGAAGTTCCTCCCTTATCCGATTCACTTCTTCTATTCAGGTTCCCCTCTCAGTTAGAGGCTCAACGGGAGCTGAAGGAGGGCCGGCGACAATGGGGTTCTGCAACCTTGCGGATCGATGTGTGGTCTTTCACAGTTGGTTGTTGTGGGGTTCTCAGAGATAAAGGCCTTAAACAGATCTGGTTGTTTGGTCTTCCTCTTCATCTATGGTGCGACGCCTTATTTGTCGAAGTGGGGGAGTTGTGTGGCGGATTTTTGGACGCAGTTGCTGACGAGACGAGGGATGCCGAGAGTGTTCAAATTACAATAAAAATTGGACCAGCTTGTCCGCCGTTTGTGTTTATTAACGATAACACTTTCTGTTATATGGTTGCGATCTGGGAAGAAGTTTTGCAGAAGTTGGTTCCTTCGACGGAGAGCCTTGAAGGTAGCTACGGGTCACATCTTATGACAGAAGCAAAATGGAACATGTTTCTCAACAAAGGGGAAGAAGGGGTGTTGCAAATCTGGCAATGAATGAAGGACAGAGAAATACAAAGAGCGGTGAAGTACGTGGGAGGAAGATCAAGTGGTAGACACGCCCCGGTTTTGCGCGTTGATGCTGACAAACATAATGATGCACGTGGCGGTCGATCAGGCTTTAATCCAAATTCCTCTTTATCCTTATCTTTAAGAGTTGGTAAAGAGACTGAGATGGGCCGCAACTTCGATTGGGCTAAGGTTGATATGGGCCGTAAGGTGGTAGGCTAGGCTAAGGGCGAGGCTTTAAGACAACATAGGCCTGTTAAATACAGACTTATTAAGCCCAAGCCAAATATGACCTTGGTTAGATTTGGGCCTTGGACAGTCCGCACCAAACGAAGGGTTATGAAAAAAGGACCCAACTCCTTATCCATTTCTTTCTTTAACCCAAAATCATTACTAAGGCCAGGCTTAAAAGGACAAGCCCAAGCTCAGGTTCAGGCCCAATCCTCTTCTTCACAGCGTGGTAAACCTCGCTGGTCGTTGACAGAGAAAGCAAAGCGGAAATCGACGATTGCATCAGCCGGTCACCAGAGCTTTAGATGGACTCGTAATGAAAAAATGAAGTGGGTAGCATGCTCTACTACCTCTGATCTTCCAGGTTTGAATTCTGTTGCTTTTTCTCAGAATTCTTTCTCTTCTCCTTCTTCATCTGAGGTGTCAAGAAGTGGTGGTAGTGGTGCGGAAGAGTGTACAGATCAAACAGAGGGACTACTATGGAGACATTGTTCCACGGATGGAAGAGTCACTGCCTTCAAAGAACTTGTTTGACAATGGCGATTGCCTAATGGAGTGACCGTATGTGTGGGAAAGGACCTGTTTTTCAAGCTAACAGATGATTTAGCTGTGTCTTT